CTTATCAACAGAGAGAATAACAGAAAGCTTCTGTGGCAGGGGACAGTACAGGGAAGAACACATTAACTTTTGTTGATTTAAGATCTACATTACTGTAGATCATTAAGATGTCTACCATATGAGTGCAGCATGCAGAGCTTCCAGTGATGCAGCAGGAGTCAGTCTGACAATGATAATGCTATAAATAAATTAATGCCAAAGGACTCRACAACCACAGGCAACTGGTAATAGGATTCATACATTTACTAGATCAAAACTCTGGTGCAGGTCAAGAGCAGCAGCARAATTACTGGTAACTGACAAACGTGTGGTGGACTGTGAGAAAGAAGCTGCTGGTTTCAGTCCATTTCCTGACTGATGGACACGTGTCTGCAATGCTCACAACAGTCACCACAACTGGCACCTCAAGGTATCTCAGACAGACCGAGAACTGTGAAATGTTCTAGCTCTAAAATGCAAAGCTCAAAGACCACTATAATCCAGCCTTACCTGAATAAACTTCCCCACAAAAATGGAGCATATGAGAAAACCCATCTTTACCTCTGGAAATAYATTTCAGCAATTACTAACCCTCACAGTCAAAGCCTTGCTTACTTCCAGTCTGAATCTGTGACACGTCATTTGCCAGCCACAATGGCACGCAGTCCTGCCATGGGTTTTCCACACAGGGCCGCACAAAATGCCCATCCATCCCTGCCTCTCTTTGGGGACAACACCTCTCTGTTCAACCAGAAGAACTCAATACCCCTCTCCCCCAGAACTCATGCTGTTCTCCTTCCTGCATTGCAAACAGCAACCAAATGCAGCATAGCAACCATTCCTCCATCTACCAGGACTCAAGCCGGTGGCTGTGGGGAGGAATGATGAGAGGACTAAGGATGCTTGCAAGTGCAGATGCTTGGACATGACTGTCCACCGTGGCCTACATTTTCCAGAATGGGATGCAGCTGTTTTCAAGCTGCTGCCCAATYCACATCTACAGCCTGTTTGATTTGGGCCCACATTCATCTCCACATAACCACCCCCAGAATAGGGTTAAACACATGGAAAATCCAGATAAAAACACTTCAAAGGACCTGCAACCAGATTCTTCTGGGAAGATTAACAAGATTCACCTTTATGTTCTTGACTTTGAGCAACTGAAACAAAAATTGTTGTCATCTGCAAATGGGCTGAGAGTGCACTCAATCCCTCTGTCTACATCAYTGATGAAGACATTAAACAGCACTGGTTCCAATACAGACTGCTGAGGGGCACCACTCATGACTGGTTTCCCATCCGGACATTGAGTTATTAACCCTCTAGATGTGACCATGCAACTATTTCCTCATCCACCAGACAGCCCAGGCACCACATTTGTATCTCTCCAATTTAGAGAAGGATGTTTGTGGGATATCATGTAAAAGGTCTTACAGACATCCAGATAGATGACAACCTRTTGGCTGGATCCCACAGGTCACTGCCAGACATAGTATTACCTAAAGCACACAGATATGTTTTCCCATCTACCTTTCAGTGTCTCATATTCTGATCAGAGATTTTAAAAGCTAAACTAACTGAGAAATARAATAGAAAAAGCAGGTGGCAAGAAACTTAATTATTCCACTCTGTTTATGGCTTTTGTGTGGATTTATAAAACATCTGTGAGTGTTCCATGGGCAGCCATCCAAAGTGCTCTGGAGGAGCCAATTTGATTCACCAGGGCTGTTGCCCCTGTGCATCAGTGGGAGCACACATGGTGCTGTTGGACACTGCTTTTACTCATTACATCTGAAATAACAAACCCAGCTTCATACGGCATGCATGCCTTTCTCTTGGACATGCTACCTGCTACCCACAGGGTTTTCTGTGAGATAGATATTTATAGCACAGCAGCTATAAAYGTGCATCTTTAAACTACAAAATGCTCACCAAAGTGGTTAAGATCCTGTATAACAATGGTGCACCTCATTGGAACAATAGTCTTAGAATGCTCTCTATTTCAAAACTGATCTTATTAGAGGAAAAATTTCCTTGAAACAGTTTATACAAAAACAACTAAGGAGCAATATTGCAAGATAGTTAAGACCAGATTTTGGCAAGTTTTTTCTCGTGTAAATTACTTGAAGTCTTAGAAAACAATTCTGCGTCTTGCACTTAATGAAAGCTGGCTGTGTTTAAAGGTGCAAAAAGTCCTAAAATCCAACTAATTTTACACCTACTTTTTCCTGTTATTCCAGATTTAAAGTACTCAGTGACTTCATAAGGCCAAACTTTGATTATAAGCTAGCCATGCTTCCCACATCCGTAAGGGTTTGTAAATGATGATTGAGCCAATGTCCGAAACCAAATTTCTATATGAAATTTTCTTTTTTAAGTATATCTCACTAGGCACATACTATGTAACCTAAACCAATATAATACTTTGTTGTGAAACTCTTCAATTGTTTTCTAACAGCTTACTAATTTATGAGGAACTGAAGCAACCTATATCCAAAATCAGCAGAATATGTCACACACAGAAGCACACGTTTAAAAAAAGATACTGTGAGCATTTCAAACAACCAGGTAAAAACAGTCTGTAACATCACAGAGAAGGGCAATGCCTTAAGTTACTACAGTAGAAAACAGTTTTACAATCTCTAGCAATTTAGTGTTCACCACAAAGACTGATATTTGTCTCTTTTTTCAGTATTGCATTCTTAATTATGAATGACAAAGTCAGATTGGGCATTTTCGTTCTCTACCCACCAGCAATGCRTACAGAATCAGTACTTCTGATACACTTTAAGTGCTGAATTCAGAAGTATTATTGCATCAAAACAGTCATTACTGAAACTTAAAAATCTGGCAAACAAGATATGGTAATTTATGATGTCTGAGAGCTAAAGTATGCATCCATATTCGTTTGTTCCACAGACAGCCAGAAAAGGCCCAATTGTTTTTGATGACATGCTACTAAAACACTACTGGCTTTTCAGTGTCTAAAAACACTTACCTTCCTTGKCTTGCATAGAAAGCTTTGTCTAATGAATTATTTGTAGCATTTCCTACAGGTTCCTACATTTCCTACAGTACAAGGGAATACWGGAAATAAAACACTGCTAGCATGACAAAGGCAACTACTACAGAAGGTGATGTGGGATACACACAGGCAAAGCATTCCTGTTTGATTTCAGTGGGCATGGGAAAAATCCCCAAGCACAGTGCGGACACACAAGCTATAAAAAAACCCCACCTACAACCTGGCATGAATGTAAATAGCTAAGGAAGTAACAAAACGTAACAGAAGTTTTCTACTCTTCATAAACAGAAGCATTCAGTCGCAAACCATCACCACAATAAGGTCATGACTGATAAAGTAATCAAAAATCAGCTCAGACCCCGAACAAATGGAATTTGAAATCCTTACACTGCTTTAGGAAYTGGGGAGAAGTTTTAAAGGAGTATGTTGCATGCTGAGAAAACTGAAGGCACAGCTGGAAGCAGGGGTGATTAAAGTCCCTCCTCAAGCAGCCACTGCTTGTTCCCGTGACACTTATAAGACACTGCTGTGAACCAAACTGGGGACAGATCTAGGTAAATCTAATCCTTYATGTCTTTTGTGGTGGTAACTAGAGGAAGAAATGGTGACCTGGTAATATTTAAACCACAAAAGCTCCCAGTACTATTTACCATGCAGGCTCACAAACAGATGCACCACCACAAGCAAGGAGATGGAATGTGGACAGCCAAAAAAACTATCACTAYCACCACCAGAAGCACTGTCTGAAGCTGCAGCTGATCTGAACCATAATCAGTCTTCCTAATTTTCTAATTACAATAGAACAAAATAAAATTCTATTCATTCTAAAGACCAGCACCCTAGAGGCAACATTACATCTCCTTTACTCAGCACAAATGCTTATCCCTTCAACTAAGAGCACTCTTGAAATTCAATCTGTTTCAGACTTAATAAGCACCAAGCACAGCGCAAGTCAAATGCACAAAGTYAACAACTAAAGAAAGCTCTGCTTCAGCACATTTATAAATTCAAGGTCAACCCTGAGTTCATCATTATCTTGGTATTAGGTTTAATTGTGACTACTGGGAACACCTCTTGTTTGCCTTACCTATTGACTTGCCTGGGAGAAGTGGAAGTTCTRTAGTTTAAGGACTGAATTCACTGGAGACATTTTACACAAAGAAAAAGGAAAGCAGAGACTACCAGCAGCATACGAGGGCTAATACCAACAACGGCCTTACCCACAATTTTACCKTATCTCTTGAGAAGTGAAATGCAGGGAAGGAATGAAAAAAATTAAGAGGACAACAGTTCCTGACATATATCAAATAGCAGGATTTTAGGACGTAGCAAAGCCCAGGCAGATTCCCCTCCAAGGTAAGCTGGGGTAAAGAAGAAAGCGCAACATTTCAACAAAGGAGACCTATATTGTTCCCAGCTCCTTCTCAGCTCAAGATGGCACAGCAAATACAGGTCTTTAGATTAGCTTCCCTTCAGTAAAATGGGGAATAATACTTCATGTCAAAGTGTTGGCAATTACAGACACCCGGCTACATTAGATGTATTACATGAGGGTCATAGATTCTTTCCACACTCCAAGCCTAAATACTTCACATAGAAAAGGACTGCAAACCCATCTGCCACAAAGATTCAATGAGGGGCCTAAGTACAAAGTTAGTACTGGGGGAAGTACTAAGGGTTAGTACCAGGGGGAGAATGTTGTTTATGTGGTGTTTAAACTCCAAACAGAAGGAAACTTACCTTTACTATTAAATTTTTCACATAATCCTGTTATTGTGTTATACAGATTGATGCTGTAATTCTCTTCCTCTGTCAGTTAAGACCTCTTGTTACAACAGCAGCAACAACAAAACCTGTGGCTGGATTCCAAAACTACTGCTTTTAAGAAAATCAGTCTCAAAACATCAACAGCCCAGAACAAGAAACCAGTGCCAAGATGACTGTAACAGTGAACTGCAAARCAAGGATTTACTGAGGAGACCCCCACAACTCTTACCTCAAGCATAGGGCGGGCACTGTCATGGATTGAAAGAATGTGCGTAATGTTGTTCCTACTCAATTGCTCTACATCTCGGGCATCTGTGATAGAGGGAAAAAGGAARACARTTTTTTWAATCTCTTTAAATAGCATTTCCATTGTGCATGTTGAAAAGTCACTKAACACTGATACATTTCTTTTTGAAGCTACATAAAGTCAGGCAAAACCCCAAATGCAGCTGTTCTAGACACCATCATGAGAGTGGGTAACGGGAAGACACAATTTTAACTCCAAAACAAATTATATACTATATAAAGACCAAGCTYAAGTGACTCAGGAATGTGTTCTCAAGTCAGAAGTTTCATGTATTTTGCATCTGAAATGTAAGTCTGTGCATGCCTGTGTGCAGGTGATGCCCATCTGAACATGCAGTCAGAGCTGTACAARAAATATCTGACCTCCTTTCTACCCACAAATCCCCCTTCAGGGGATACWTTTTCACTTGGGAGACAGATCTAGTGATATCCAGGTATGACAAGGGAAGCCAGCTGTATCACTTGAATTGAGGTCTCTACAGACAAGCCAAGAAGATAACCAGATTCTTAGTTTCTGTGAAGCAGTAGAGAAAAATGTGCATCTAGCCAATATGTGTGATAATTTTAAGTCTAAAGAGAGACAGGCCATAAAGATATTGAATGCATGAAAAAGGAAAATGCTTTTGTGAAAAGGTGGTTCCTAGACCTGTAACCAAGGGGTTTCAGACATTCAAAACTGGAATGAAAACTGGGGCGACTAAAAATTTGATGCTAGATATGGCAAAACCATGGGCTTGATTCTATGAGGGAAAAAAAGGTAAAATACATTATCATTAGTGAGGAACTTTCTCTACAGTGAAGTATCARTGTGTCGGAAAATGACCTGAAAGAACGACCAATACAGGCAAAAGTTAGTTTGTGCCCGTTTACTTACGACCTTTTTGCTTGAGAAGGGCACACCATGGCAAGTACAGCAGTGGTTTTGTGATGCGAACACCTGCCTTCGAAATCTGCCCATAAAATCTGTTCACATTAGCCTGGTTGCACACAAAAAGAGAACACTGACCACAAAGGTTTCAAACCGGCTCTCTCTAGGTACAAAAATAACAATAGCATCACCTGTATGCTCTTTATGTACATGCAAGAGTTCAATTAGCGTCTCTTGTGTCATCTTACCCACCTACTATAAAGTTTCAATGCCTTTTCTATATCACAAAGAGGAGYTGGACATTTAATTATACTGCCCCATAGACAAGATCCAAGTGAGCACAGTAACAAGCAACAAAATTTAAACCTAATCCAATTATGAAAGCTTCTCTACAGCTAATAAAATGAAGAAAAGAGTCAAAACTGCATGGATTTTACTCACTGCTGATCAAGCCTGCATGATCAACACAGATGCCTAATCCTTCAGGAGAGAATTAACACAAATTCTCTCTGAAACAGAATTAAAGCCTAGCTTCACAGAACAAATAAAATTTCCTAAAAATCTCAGAGCAAGCATTTCAAAGAAGAAATGCTAATGCTTGCSAGGTGAGGTCTTCTAATCCACCTGACCTTCAGATTTTTTTAACTGTTTGTAGGACAGTTGCAATTCCTTAGGGAACACTAAGCAGGCAAAGATTTGGAAGTCAGAAACCAGTCTAAGTGTCCCTAAAAATCACTGTTCTTTGTTTTACAAAGGCTAAAGGCAGGCTTCAGAGCCTGCTGGCTGGAAATCATGGTGTTAATGTACACCTAGCACAACGAGACCTCAATCTCTAATTATCAGTATGACCTACATGGTAAGAAATGTCTTGCCACACAAGGCAAACCGCTTCAAAAGGAGATATAATCCAAATTAAATTTTGACTGCTTTGAACCATTATGAAAGGCTTAATGGACATAGWACAGGACTGAAGTCTCTCAGTTAACTGAAACAGGCTAAAGGAACTTCAGCAAATCAAAACTATACAGTGAGATTTCAGATATTCTTAGCAACAAGTTGGAAATGGMCATCCTAGACCTATGTCACAGTATAGCCAGCAGGTCCTTAATCTATTTGGGAAACAACGATTCAAATCACTAAAGCAGAGGAGAAAAAGCTTCCCAACTACTATCTGGATCTAAACTTTTAACAGTTTACAAAGGGGAAATTCCCCTGGTTCCCCAGCACCTGCCTTAAGTCTCTACAGATACTACAGATAAGGCTATTTAAACACARGTACAAATAAGATATCCTGTCATTCACACTCTCATACCATAAATAACAAAAAAAACCTTAGAGGTTATGTAAAGAACCACCAAAAACCAAAAGAACCACCATCACCACAGCAATTCTAACTTCTTTGCTGTAGCACAGTGCTGTACATGCACATGCAGGCTCACGTTTTCAAATCACCGCATGAAACACTTCATTTCCACATGTTAAGATTAAACCTACCTATCAGAGCCCCTCTTGTGCATCCTCTAAAGGGTGCCTCAAATGTGGCATTATTCTTCATAACACGTTACCTAACAATTTGTTTCTTACAGCAAAATGCTTCTCAGCTTAAGCAGATGCAGACTTTTGAGTAAAGCCTTTGGGAAACTCTCCTCACACAAACTGACACAATTCACACAAGGGAAGTCCTCCTCTCTCTCTCCCATATTTAGCCTTTATTCCCTCAGTTTCATTCTATGACTCCAAGCTTAATCTCTACTCATGCAGAGAGCTGCAATCACTTAACTGCAAAAGCAATGCCAAAGTCATCAACATGGAACCAGGGGCCTGTCAGAATTTGTTCCCTGTAGCTCTGGGAAGCCTCACTGTGTGGTTGGGGAGCAAATCACCCAGTGCAGTGTGCTTCCATCCCCCACAAGCAAGGGAGACAACACAGCTCCAACCACTGCAGYTGAGACATGTCAGCGACTGAATCACTCCCATACTACAGTGGTGAAGTCTCAAATGTACCTACAACCRCTCTCTCTTACTTTAGTATTTTAGTGTCTTCACAGACATGCAAGGTGAGGGATAAGCACTTCCTCTCAGAAAAGGCAAGTCAGCCCAGTATATACAATAGTATTAAGTCTCAATCTGCAGATGTATGRCAATTTCATCACCACAAGATCTTTATTATATAAAGCATTTTTTTTTCCTACACTTTATTTTCTACTTTGGAGAGAGCTAAACAGAAATAGTCATCTAAAGAATGTCCTCTGCAGTGATTCAGAGCACTAAGAGCTTTTATTGAGAATGGTTTCCCATCAGGAGAGTTTTGTTTCTGAATCCAGTTATGTGCAGTTACAGACAAACACACAAACTGTGTACATGAACAAAAATTCCATGTCTTCTGTCTCCACTTCACACTATGTTYKAAAACATATTTTGTCYCTTCCTCTCAGATGCACCTTTTTKGGGAAGAAGGAAGGTGGGGAAAAGRGGTCAGTACTCTTTAATGGAGTACAAATAATTTGACTTCCTGGAAAAGGTGAAATCTGAAAGAGGGAATGGTATCTCCATCCTCTCCTGTTTTCTGATATAAAGCCTAAGGAAACAGAACTTTAAAAACATACTAAGCAGAGGAGAACAYGAATTAATTGAATCCAGAAACACAGCAGACCTATTTGGTGGGCACTGCCTTTTTATACACTTAGTAATGGGAAGGGCAGAAACTTTCCCAAGACTCTCCAGAACATCCACAGAAACACTGGACTCTTTGGGGGAAATTAAACCTCATTTTGTGGCTTTCCCCTTCAAATTAAAAAGCCCCCAAATATTCCATGGGAAAAACCAYGAATGATTACAAACAAGGAAGAACATAAACTCTTTAATAATCAAGGTAGAAACACTTTTGAGTCTGGTTCTTGCTAATGCTGCAACTCTTGGTTTGGAGGCAAACTGAGCACCTATTGAGAATCTTTCATCAGAAGAAACAGATTTTTTTTTTCATTTGTGCAGAGAAACAGGCTGTCCTGTCAATCCCTTAAGGAACAAAGAAGCCATTTTTATTGTGAGCACAGGTTATTTTCAAGGGAAATCGGGTTTCAGTGCCTAAGACATGTGGARCAGCCCCACAATAAATTCTTCATCTTTTGAGAGGATTGCATTTCATCTGAAAGGTACAAATGAAACAAACCAAAATTTCTCCAAAACCAGAGGTGGGAAGAAGTGTTAACTTCCTCTTTCTCTTCCCTCATTTTTCTCTCTTAGCCCCCTACTCTCCCATTTGCAAAGAAATGACTCCACTTTCACAGAAGAGCCCAAGAGCTCTGTTTCCTTTTGGACTTTTCAGACCAGGCTCAGTCTTGGTATTTGWTATGGACATCTGTGGCTCTTCTTGAATTTTTCTGCCCTCTAGCTGTGCAATCTCAAATACATCCTCTCAGGAGCATACCACAATTTTCATGTRCTACTGATGAGCTGAATCATGCTTACAGAGCTTGTAAGATAAAAAGCACTTGAACATATGCCAAGATCTGTGCTTAATCAGGAAAGTTTTTCAGAGACATACTCAAGCCCTGTGGACTCAGGGGGATTTCAGGAGATACTTCAGTGCTTTCCATAATTAGCACGACATATAATTTTCTACCCTAAAGACCCTTAAGGTGGTTATTAAACCTCATCTCAGTCTATGCGCTTATAGATTTGTGCAGCAGCAAACAAAACAGAAGCAGCAAGCTCAGCTCCCATTTCTGCCACAGTTCATTTCACAAGCTTTTCCTGGGCCTCAGTTTATCTCCCAGTCAAATGCAGAATTTCCACTGCTCTGTCACRGAGCAGTTTTTAAGTTGATTAAGCCTAAAAGCAGAAATACAGCTGAATGGTGAATAATAATTCCCCAATCAGAACAAYTGCTGAATGCCTTCTCAAGACAACAGCCCTCTAGAATCAGTGTTTAGGATCTCAAACATCCTACTTTCATTCAGCTGAAAGGCACCCATCTGGAAGAAGTGTGCCTTTTTTTTTCCCAGTCTGCCAGTGYTCCCAGAGGTCTCCCATGCAGTGGCGAGACAGGAGGGTGTGTAGGATGGTATTTTGATCTAGCTCTGGAAACTGAGCATGCCCACGCTCCCTGAGGAGCTACCGGGGAAAGGCTATCCTCCAGAGGGCAGATCAGAGCGATTTACAGACATTCCCCTGACTCAACTTCTGCAGAAGCTCCCTCCTGTCCACGTCTGCTCAGGGACTCAGTGCCACAAATTCTCAACCCTGTCCAAGCAAGATGCGCAACACCAGGGGTTCAGTGTTTCCTCCTCTTACTGACAAGATGCAACTTTATTCAATTCAAGCTATCAGTCTTAAACTGAAGAATGGGAGACTGGTCAAAAAGGCATTAGCGGAAATAATTTTGTAAACGCCCGTGTTTACAAGTAGATACTCATTTCAGCTGCCCGAATCAGGATACTCTGACCAATCCCAGCTGTCCATGCTGCTGAGTATTTCTCAGTCAATTATCGCCTTCATAGCACTCATCAGTCACTTTTTTTTAAAGTGCCACAAATCAGGCCACACCCCAGCAATATGGTGATCAAACTCCTCCAGAAAAATACAYTGGTAATTCACCAACAACCTGTTCCTAAATGGGATGACTTCACTGCACAGAGACGTGTTGCAACTGCTCCTAAGCAGTGAAGGACAAGGGATGCAGAAAAGGGCAAGAAACGTAAAAGTATGCTTTTGTATTAGTGAAGTACTGCAACAATATCTTTTCCTTTCCAGGTAGGGTAGTTTATCTGATATTATAACAAGTACTTGTGATGGTAGTACGTAATGATTAAATTCAATATGAKCAAAGGTCATAGCAGTAAACAAACGGACATTTCGTGTTTTTAACTAATCTAAAAAACAGACTCCATAACACAAACACTGGGGTTAAAGTCAACTCATCTTTATTCTTTTATGGAGGTAAGCAGAAGCATTACACCCTCTGCTTTTTTTTCAGCGAGGCTCCCAGAAACACTGCCCACTCAGAGCACGCCTCTGCTCTCTGCGCAGGCAGGACCTGCTGTGCCATTCCAGGGCTGCTCCCAAGGTGGGTGGAGTGTGGCCAGGACAGCAGGAGCAAGAGGGCCACAGGCCTGGCATGGGCAGAGATGCTGACTCACTCCACAACCTTGGCCAAATSCCCTCCACTGAAACCACAACTGCACCAGCAAGCAGATACTCCAGCTGGGTTTCGCTCCCCTGGGCAGACTGGCAAGGGCTTACCAGAGGGATGGCCATGGTGACAGGGACAGACTGGAAGCCATGTTACCAGGGCYCATCCTGCTCACCTTTCCAGACTATCTGAAACATAAAGGACTCCACTATCCAACATCTTCCCAATTCTACTCCTTGCCGAAATTATTTCARAAACAGAAAACAAAAAGAGGAAGCAACACATGGCTGTGGCCAAGTTAGTTAATTTTGTCATCAGCCCATTTAGTGGTCAATCCAAAGTGCTTTCAAAACTACCCTCTTGGCCTTATGTTCCTTTTTTCCTACCTTTTTCTTTCCATTAGCAGCATAAAATCACCTCCATGCTCTCATTTGCTTTACCATGGCATGATTAACACTCTCACGCAGTAGCCATTGTACTTGTGTTTGTGATGTGGAAAAAGGCAGCTTCTAACTTCACACGCCAGCCTCTGGGCTGCCTTCCAAAGTGGTCACAGATCCATGTCCCAGATCCATGTCCCAAGGGGCAGCAAGCACTGGATCTGCRGTATGGGTCAGCAGATCCAGTGGCAGGTAAATCAGGCAAAAAGCACCRAACTCACATGTTTCGGGATGGGGAGGCAAGGAAGAAAGGGTGGGCATAAGGCAGAGAGAAGGTGCAGTACCATCTAAATCCAAGGTAGATGTAGCCACTCTTAACAGACTGGGCATGGTATCAGACAGCCCAGGAACGATAGGATATTACAGGAGACCCTGTGAGCCCTGCTTTGCTGTTTTACCCAAGTATAGGAAATGTGGGGTCTACGTCTATCAAAACAACTGTACATGCACAACTGGTTTACTTCTGAGTAGGGAGAGTCAGCTGGAACTGCAGCTAACAGAGTGCTTTGAGAAGAGGCCATTTATTTGGATGTCTATACAAAGTTTCCTGTGTTTTCTAAATAYGTCTGTTTTTCTGTACACCAAAAATAAACCTCGTGCACAAAGGGAAAAAAATCCATAGAAACTTACATCTGCACTAGAGACAGTGTGAGTATCAGTGGTCAGGCYGCAAGCTGCAGACTTATCAGTCTCACAAGCAATGATAACTCTTTAGCAGCTGTTATAAATAACCAAAATAATGAAAGCAATGAACAAGAGGCATAGTAAGCCTTTACTTATAAGGAGGGCTTGAAATAAGCCTTACAAAGGATCTGCCTGGCTCACAGGCTTGCCCTKCCAAGCGCAGGAATTGTTTAAGGCAGACAGTGTTTAGGAATTCCAGCTGAAGCATGCTCMAAGGAGATGATGTTCATTTTACTTTTTAAAAGTATTTGCAACACAGCACACGGATGAGAAAGCGAATGAGTTCTTCTTTCAGTGTTATCAGATGAATCCAGAAATGAAGCAAGATGGGGTTAAAAAGCTACAGAGATTCCAGAGAAGTCTGAGTGCCTGCAAAACAATACCTTAAGATCTCTGCTAAGTAATCTTAGAGATAATGATAAAACTAATCTTACCTTTAAAGTTGCCAATGAACAAGCCAGGAAGAATCTGTGAGAAAGAAATATAGTATCAAATATAGATATCTTGTGGTAAGACAATTTGACAAAGTTCAATTTGCATACAGGATGGAACATACTACTTTAGCAGACTATTGTCAAATGCAATCTAAAACATGCTGAGAGCATTTCATGCCTCTTTGCAACCTTCTCAAACCAGCCAGCTCTAGGCACACTGAGCATTGACAGCATTCCTTGGCAGACCGTTGTTGTTAATCGTGGGGACTCTCACTTAATGGAGGCTTCTCCAAGGACAGCAAATGTGGTTTACAAATATGAAGTGGGCCTCGCAACACAGCCCTCCCCTGCCCCCCACAGCAGGGTAAGAGCTACCCTCATGGAACTAATGATGAAACTTCACACAGCAAAGGTGATTTGCCTAAAGCTGCTAAGGAAGCTGGACAAAGCCCTGCAAAACGACATCCTTCGAGGCTTTTGAAGTGCAGCACCATGCAAGTCAGGGCTGCAGCACTGTGGGACTCTCAGAGGAAATCACTGCCATCAGCGACTTGTGCGTTCACATGGAAAGGGAACTGCTGAAGGTCCGTGACTTGCATGTTTCTCTCCCAGATCTACCCACTCACCCCCCACTCCCAGACGCCTGCACAGCTCTCAGTTACAGGACATTCTTTAACTGGGGAGTTTCAAGGTCTGCCCAAGGACCAGCATGTGCAGTCTGGGGACACGTGCATGCAGCCACAGAGGCAGGTGACACCGTAGTGCTACCCCTCCCACCCTCTCATAACCCTCCCTATTTGGTAACAACAGCAAGGATAATAAAAAAAAACCTAGGCACACAGAGCACACATTTTCTGGCCAAGATTTTTGTTCTCTGCCAGCTAAAGTCTCTGACCCACACCTACATCCTTTCAAGACATCAGAACTGTGGTGGTGAAACCATATGATCCATTTTTCTTCAGTGCATRCTGAGCATACCACCAATACAGATATGTCAGCGCTCACTTCCTACAGCCTTAGCAACACCCCGGTGTCCCCACAACAGCAGCAACAGTCTCTCAGACGCAGCTATTTAAAGGGAAAACTCCACCCATTTTGTTCGATCTGGCAGCCACGAAGTTCCGAAAGTCATGAAGGACTTTTCATCAGGGATTAATGCCACAGCCTCCTCCGTTTCACTGTAGCCTTTCTGCTGAAAGGCGACCCAGCTCACCATGCACAGGTAAGAAGAGTCTGTAAAATACCTCCTGACCTGCCTTTATTCCAGGCCTTTCCTCCAATAAAAGTGTCATGTTCGCCGTTATTTATTGAGCCTTGCAGGAAACAGAAAAAGGCTGTGTCACCTCTTGCACTCCTTGCAGCTTTGGTTTGTGCAAACATTCCTCCCTCTAGACTTTGCTGGGCAATCACTCTCTGCCTGCTGTATCACACCAGCTCTAAACACAGGGCTCAACTCCCCCTCCCACCCCAATATTGAAAGGTGGCTTCTCCAGGACCCTTGCTSTACCTTACTGCTTGTACACCCTCACTTGCAAATTAAGGGCTGATTAACAGCACTGGCAGGTCAAGAAAAGAGTTTTTTAGTCTTATACAAACAGGCACCTGCATGTATTTTGCAAATATAAGCCCAGACAGTTTTCTGCTTTTCCTACCCTCTTCATTTGTACAAATTCAACATTCTTACAAAGACAGCAAAAATCCCCAGGGCAGTTTCCAGTGCCATAGTATCTATCACGTAGGGTAAAGAACCTTTACAACATCCTGCTGTCCCTTTCTACATGCACAACACTCACGGTTTCAAGGGACGATTCAGTATTTCAAGCACAYTTCATGACACTGCTAGAAGTGCAGCTCTAAGGCTACCTCCCAGGCCAGAAAAAAGAAGCCTGTACCTGTTCCAGAAAGGGCAGTACTCAAGAGTCATTGTCAAAAAGGCCAAATYCCACAAATAAAATCATGTTCTAAAGCAAAAGGGACTCAAGTTATGAATGAATTTCACCARCCAGATCACCCCAGTGAGCTCCCTCATCTTAAGTGTAAAAAATGAAAAAAAAATGAAAAAAGCCTTTCTGATATTTTTAAATAGCTGTCTGGTATTTCCTATCTGCAGAACAAATCTCTAATCGCACTGCCACTGCTGTAGACTACAGCGTTTTATAGACTCCAGGACATTATTTCTGCATCAAATGTGCTTTCTCAAGAGGGAATAAAAGTTTAATTTCCAGTCGCAGTCATTAAGCTTTGACATTAGAAATTAAAGATACTGAGAAACACTGGGGGGTTGCAGAAATGAGRTTTCTTGTTGGCAAGTGAGGAAAAATCCAGAAGTCTGCATTTGTGCATCATGAAGCAAGGCTACATGCTAGATAGGTAATTAGGACACTGTGCAGCCAAGGACAGATGTCACCCCTGTTGTACGAGTCATTCTAGAAGCAAGAAACATTACTATGGGTGAAAGCTACCTGGAAAGAAGTGAATCTTCATGTCATGCTGACTAATAMTTCAGCACTCGACTATGGCTGGGAACTTTCAGCTGTGTCATCTCACACTGCCTTCAGTAACTGCAACTCTGGTACGTGCAAAATGAAGGCTGATGGCTGCTAGGGGCGTGTGAGAGAGAAGGGGTGGGAGTCAGAAGAGYAGAAAAATAAGGTGGTTGTTTTTGTGAACTTCTCCACCACTGCTTWATGAATAAAAACAGTAGCCTCTTTATACGATCTGAAACATCAAGAAAATGACCACAGACTAAGTAACTGAAGTAGAAGAATGCACTACCAAGGACTCCCAACACCTGTCTTCCCTTGTACCTCACACGAGAGCAGCTCACATTCTCCACCTTGCACAAAGACAGAGCCCTGGAAGAGGCAGCAGTTGCTAATGCTTCTGTCAGTCCTCTCTGACAATACACCTCTCTGAAAAATGGCTTAAAGGGCTACTTTGCTGTTTCCTATCTAGACAAATGCTTATAACAAAGCATCTAACTCCTTGCCCAGCACTGCTTCTAGGTGTGTTAGTACTGATGGGCACTCCGGAGAAGTCCATGGGGCTTTCTCAGAGATGGCCAGGCACTGTAAAAGAAGAAGACAAGCCTACCTTTGTCCGGTAGTACAGGAGACTGGCACACGTCAGAAAGGGGGATTTGCTGCTGACGTGAACTGGCCCAGCTTCTCTGACTTCCATAAAATTGGCTACCTAGTTCTAGTTAGCCTCACTGGTTTAATTCTTATGAATCCACTCCTACAACGAACAGAGCTTATCTGCCCTTTTTGTAGAGATAACAACCAAACCTTCTGAAGAGTTTACATGAATAACCGTCAGTTAACTGTAACAGCACGGAACAACAACTAAACCTCAGGAAAAACTCTTCACCAAGCATATCCTGTTCACAGATAATCAAATCTTGTCACCATCTCAGCCGCTAGACTTCAGCTCCTGGAAAACATCTTTGTAAATTTCAACCACAGACATCAACTTGAACTTTGAATAAAAGTTAAGAGGAAAGTTAAGCATGAAAACAAATCACCCAGACAACTTCCTAAKTCAGAGCCCATTACTCATTCTGTAAAACATACATCTCAAAAATATAAGAAAAAAAGGTGAAGCACTGAAAATTAATACTAGCCAGGTTAATGCACATTCACAAGCCGATTCTCCTTCTCTTAAYAGAGTAAGAAGGGTATGCATGAACAAATGCTTTCAGTTTAATTTGGAAAATGTCAGAAGGCTTGGATGGGCTTCCAAAAAAAAACTAGGCCAGGCTAATTTTACAGAGAAAATCAGCAAYAAAAGACAAACCCCACCTATAAAGAATGCCAGGCCTCCAGCCCTTATCTCTCTAAAGGCCACATAAAGTCAGGTGCAATTGCTATTTGCTATGAAATACATCAATATCATGGGACAGAAAAACAAGGAGGGGACCATGCCACTGAGAAAGGCTTAGCATCCAGAGGCTCTAGCAATCCCCGGAGCTCTTCCTTACCACACCCATTACAGGTCATCATTAATCCTCTTCCCTTGGCATCAGKACAAAGGGATTCCTTAAATGAAATAATCCACCATCAAATAAGCTGATTATTTTCTCCTACCATCCATATACAGCCCTACCACAAAAAAAAAAACAAAAAACAAAAAAAACAAAAAAACAAACCCTCTTCAATTTGAAACTAAGGCAATTTGTATCAAAAAAAAAAAAAAAAAACCCAAAAAAAAAAACAAACCCTCTTCAATTTGAAACTAAGGCAATTTGTATTGATTGACACTGATTCAAAAAAACACCCCCCAACATCTGAGCTGATGAATTCGTGCTTCCCGTTGCCCCTCCAGCTTTGCTGACTCATAAGATCAAAAGAAAGAGCACGTTCTGAAGGTGGCAAATACCAGACCTACATGTGGGACCCCTACAAAAAAAACCCCTGATGGCCAGTACCCAAAATGGTTGCAGCCTTTCAAGAAGACAGCCCTTCCCAAACTGAACATCTCAACCTCTTGCATATAGCCCTAAGAAATGGGAGGAAAAATCCAAGTTTGTGTTATGCTTGTCCTGAAAGATCCAGTTGGCACATGTTAGGGCAACCTTTAACAGAATTAAAATGACCAAATTGGCCAATGCCAGATTGCCAATTTCTACCCACACAGTATCAAAGTAAAATGTAAAGCAGCTYCCAAGGGCTGAGAATTGCCCTTTTATTTTTTTTTTCTCCCCAGACTGCAATTTAAGCATCCCATATTGTGTCCCTCTAAATGTTTTGATAATTTCAAACATTCCAAGAAAAATACTACAAACATACAAGAAGCTTAAAAGGAGTCTCTCTAGCTGTATTTCTTCCTAACTGGCCACTTCTAGAAGGCTARTATCAGTAAGTGGCTAATATCACAGCATTATCCCCAGATTTGGAAAGAAAAAACTGAGAAAAGGACCAAGGGATGTTCTAACTCCTACGCCCTAACTCAATTCCTCACCAATCAGATCTATTCCCCACATTTTCCCTGCCTAAGGTTTCTATTTCAGTATCTCTTCCCGTAGGATGAAAAGGCTTCACCTTCCCAGGTGGCACACTAAGCTCTCTGGACATTCATCAATCTGACTTCTAGGGGCAAGGATACCAGGCTGGGACAAGATGTGAGCAGCTATTTCTAGCTCTTCTCTGCTTTGTCAGAGGCCACGCACACAGCAAAGCTACTCCCAAAGCACTCAAAGCAGGATGTAAGACAGAGGAGGTGACTCAACTTCTGTTCCTCATAGTAAGCTATATATAAAAGGCTAGTTACCATCACACTTTCAAACCTGGGTTTTAAACAGAGGTGGAGATACTGAGAAAAATCACAGCTGTCACTTGATAACCATGACATGCCGGGGGAATCGGGGCGTACAATAACCCCCGTACTGCCAAAAGGCCAACACCCTTTGCAAAACAGATCCATCTTCCTTCCTCACTGCGATCTCCACTGGGGCCGAGCGCTTTCCTGTCCCACCGGCACCGGCCCARCCCTCCAGCGACAGCCCGTGTCCAGCGGCTGCTCCGCGCCCCGGGAGGGCAGCGAGCGATGGCCAAGTGACACGATTCAGTGCCGCGCTCGCTGACAGCCCCATGCCCCGGCTCCTGCCGCAGGTCAGGGGGTGCCGGCRCTGCCCCACGGCACCCCCGGGGCTGAGGGACACACAGCGGGCACCGAAGCCCRGCGCCGGGGGGACGACGGCCCTCGCCGCCCGCTGGAACTCGCTTCAGCCGCGGAGGGGAAGCCCGGGCGCGCATCACCGAAACCAGGGCCCCCCTCCCGCCAGCCCGCCCGCGCTGCGGCTGGGGAGGAAGRGGCGGCGCGCCCCGAGGGAGCGGCMCGGCCCCGCTCTCTGTCCCTCCGCCCTCGCCCCGAGGCGGGGGACCCCCAAAACCGAAGGGAAAAGCCCTCTSGCCCTGGCCTTTGTTCCTAGAGCGGGTGCCCGCGGCGCAGGGGCGAGACAAAGGCGGGGGCGCCGCGGCATCCCGCCCGCCCGAGGCGGGGAGGGACCGCCACCCCGGCTCCGCTGCCCTGGCCCCTGCACATGCACTCGCGCACGGCGACAACGACGAGCGGCGTTACCTTGTTCATCCCATTCCCCATGGCTTAAGCGACCCGCACGCCAGCACCGCGGGAGAAGCCGTCGGCCGCTGCTGCCGGCGGCGGGTCGGCGTGCATGGGATAGTGCTTGCCGAGGGGAGACTGGGGACGGGCTAATTGCTWATTAAGGGCGGCCGCTGCTCGCCGCTGTCGGACAGGGCGAGGCGCATCCCTCCCGCTCTGGCCGGGGCCGTCTGCCTCCTGGATGCCGGGCGGCTGGRGGCGGGTTTCCGCTCGGCCGCCCCCGGGAGCGGCGAGAGCCGCGGGGCCGCGCTGCCAGGAACCACCTCCCGCCGCCGCCTCCCCACGCGCAGTGCGGCCCCGCGGGCCACCCTGGGGCTTGTAGTCCGCGCCGCCGCGCCGCGCCGCCGCCGCTCGCCACAAGGAACTACGCTTCCCAGAGACCCCCGCGCCGCAGACCTGCCCCACCTGCCGCGGCCGGCGGGCGTTCCGGGGAGGATGAATAAGCGCCGGCCGCGGCGGCGGAGGGGCGGCAGCCCCGATCTTGGTTCCTGTGGGTCGCTCCCCCGCACGGTGCGGCCGCCGCCGGTGCGCCCATGGAGGGCAGGGCTGTGGCATGCGGTGCGAGGGGTGCTGCCCACCCACCCACCCGCTCGCCGCTGCTATCCCGAACCCCGTTTGGTTTTGGCCTCGAAAGGACTGTGGCAGGAGGCTCCAGGYCTTGGGCGCCGGGGCTGCCGCCACAGGTCCCGCTGCCAGCCCGTGCCTCTCCGCCGTGCGGTGCCCACGCGTGAGCTTCGGGCTGCGCTCCGAGCCTCGCCTCGCCCAGCCACCTGTGCCCTGTCACAGCACCTGCAGTGGCTCCTGCTCTGTCATCCCAGCCATGCCGCGGTCAGGCTGGGTTGGCAGATAGACAAAGGACATTCATGCCTTAACTCAAACAGACACAGGAGAGAGCGAATAGTTTGAAGCAAGCATCGGAGGATCATAGTGACTGAGATGGAAAGACACCTCTAGAGGCTGCCTAGTCCAGCCATCTTCATGAAGCAGGGAGAGATGCTTATTGCTGAGCCTGGGCAGGCGCGGCTTCAAAGCCATGCTCAGTACTTCCACCCCCATGCTTTGCTCCCTAATGCACAGTTAAGCGTGGGAGCCGCACCCCTCTAACACCGGGGATGTGTTTTTTGGAGGTGTGGTGATGGGGATCTGATAGTTAGTCAGAGAAATTTTCTCCTAAGAGTTAATTTGATAAAGGATACGCACAGTTCAAATATGCAGGAACAGGATACTACTGCATAAGCTCTTTCCCTACTGGCCAAAAAACCCTGATATCCTTAGCGGCTCGAATGCAAAACAAAGAAGCATGCYGTTGTGTGGCCACTGTCACATTCCCTGTGCATTTACACACACATCAGTGTGAGATGTGTATAAAAAGTGAAGATGTCATTTTTTGGGCACAACTTGGTAGGACTAGGCAGGTCAGGGGCATCTGCAGTCCAAGGTAGGCAGTGAAAGGGTGAAAGATGGAGAACATAGTAAAASCCAACAGGTTGCAAGACCAGGTATGAAACAATGGACAGATGAACTCTGGAAAGGGTAGATTAGTGATGGGGGACTCTTATGTAGTGGCAGTACTTGCCAGTACAAGCAAACTCCAAGGGAACAATTTCACAACCTCCAGATGCAATCAAACATTGGCTGTTGCCAAAGAGGTGGTARCGTGTCCTCACACTGCCCTTGACAGCACCTCTGTTCCCCTTTCCTTAGACAACCCTTGACACCTATCTAACCCAAGACCAAATTCATTCAGAGAATAAAGCCTGTAGAAAGCTGGGGAGTCACAAAACCACTTTCCATGGGAGACCAGTGCACTCAGAGACAGTAATCAAGACCATCCACGTCAGCAGTGGCTTGTCATTAGGTTGTCACGTCCTCAAGAACTGGTGCTGTTCCCACAGAAGCCAATGACACACTTGAAAGCCAACAGAAGTTAAGACATCAGTTTAGCTATGTAGAAAGATGGAAAAATCATTCCTGAACCTCTCTCTCCCTGAGGCTCAGCAGAGTTTTGGGGCTGTATAGTGTCATCATCAGCCTCAAAACCATCAGAGCAGTCTCTCTGTAAGGCTAGGAATAATAGTCACCAGATTTAATATGCTGCCTTTCCCCCTTCTCCCTCCCTACTGCTGAAAAGCACAGCAGTGAGCTTTATCTCAGATATTGACTTTAATATTTCATTGGCAAACCTTCCCAGAATGTAATTTACTTTATTCTCATGCCACGCAAAATATCAATGAGGTCCAAACAGTATGAATCACAGCTTGCCATAATAACTATTAAACACATTGTATCCCTGAAGTGAAACTCTGGCAAGAAGGATAAAAAGTAAATAATATCCATAATAACTGCAGGGATCTGTGTTGTGCTAAGAGGTCCAGGATAACTGGAAGGCCTTGTGGTCAATATGCTGGAAGCCTGGGCTCATCAATTTACTTCCCCATAACTCAGTTCCTCTATCTAAAAAAACATAAGTAACAATATTTCTGACCTTTTTTTCAAAGACCCCTGGAAAAGTACTGTGCATGGGCAGTTCATATGAAGTCATTATATTAGGCAATACAGACGGAATAACTTAGTATCTGACATTTTTCTGAATAGGAGATTTTAAACATCCTCATTCTTCTGAATGGGAAGTGGGATCTTCTATTTTAATTTCAAGTTTTGTGTGTCTCTTCAGCCTGCAGTGTTTTCCCATATTAAACTTTTCTTGCATGCATGCAGTGTTTTACAGTGAAAGAGCAAAAACTAGAGAGGAAGAATGTAACATACCAATATTAAAAAGTGAAAGAAAAAACACTTCTCTCTTAAATACTTACCCGTGTGTATAGTATATCCTTTCCTTCTGCATGGGTCTACAGGGGGAATCCTGATACTGTTGCCAGACCTGCCTCTCTTACCCAGTTTTTCCAAATGGTGATTGTTTTAGTTCTTCTGCCAATTGTTTAATAAAATACCACATAATGCATTTATGGGGGCAGGTCTTCAATAAGCCTAAATCCTCATRAAACATTTATTCATTGTCACTTCTCAAGATCTTACTCCTTGTGCTTAGTATCTGCACTGTTTTTAATACTTYGAAAGTTCATTTTAAAAAGCAAGTTATCCTGAGATGACTGGACAGAATAAATGAAGTCAGAAAAAAAGAGAAAAAAGCTCTTGCTGAATCTCACAGTCTTCAATCAGTATCCCTGAAAAGAGATCACTTTAGCACTCCCTGTAATCCCTCAAATCCAGGGATTTTCCTACTCCTTTGTGATATGAGGATCATAAATTGAGTAATCCCCACTTCTTGACTTCACACACAAATGTATCTGCTAATGTCAGGTCTTCAGCAGCAGCGACCATCTTCTAGGCAATTGCCTGAAAACTAACAACAAACCAAATGGATAATGAAACTGAACCTTCTTAAAAATACAACAAAACTTCTGCTTYGAYAGTACTTACTGTGTTAAAAATATGTAAGTAAATATTCTCTACTTCTTATCTTCTGATCTCACTTTCTCTAAACCCTGAGCTCACATGCAATCATAGGCAGAAGGTATGTCAGCTATCCCTGATCTGTCAGGAACTGATAAGACCTGGGCTGGGTTCCTGGGAAGCAACGTCAGAACTGAGTTCTCAGTGGTGGCAAGAAGGGAGATAAAAAAGATGGCTGGTCAGAAATAGCCAGTGGGATGGTTTTCCTCTGAACCAGAGTGATTTGACATAAGGGGACTGTTTCACCAGAAATAAATAATGAAACCTTAACAKTCATATATAGCACTGGGCTTGTTTTCTAACTGTGCTGAGAGGGAGATCAGTGGTAGGAAAAGAGCTTGGAGGACTCATTTCCCTTTCTTTTGATATTTTTACTTRGTAATAAACATTGCCAAAACATTTCAAAACCTGTTTTCTCTGGATAGAAGAGAGAACACCTTGATTTGCTGCTATGTAGCCTCAGACCAGAGTTCATTATTCATTTGAAAAATTCACTGTCTTAAGGGCAAATTTGGCTTTTACTATGTCTCTGTGAATCTGTAGTAATTTCATCAAATCAATGATACTGCAGCAAGATTGAAGTCCTGAAAATGAAGGGAATTACCACTGTGGTTCACTTTCAGGAAGCTGCACTCAACAGGCAGAGTAGCTGGAAGACTGTAACCCTGGCTTGTACTCCTCTTGCTTCCCCTTTCCATTAATGGATAACAGCAGAGAATATGCTAGGATGTGAGGGCAGATGAGACCTAAGTGACACAAAGAAGGGCTTTGCAGAAGGCAGCACTCAAAAAAAAAAAAGGAACCAATGGTTCAGACAGGAGGAACAATGCCAGAGAATGGCTGAGAAAAGCATGTAGGATAATTTAGATGTAGGTTAGCTGCCATGGCAACCATGTACCAAATTACTGCACTTCTGTGTCTCTAAACCTGCCAGCAGCTGATTTTGTTTGTATGTTCTTCAGGCTTTAAAACAAGTTAATCCACCTTAAAACTCATGAGGGATTTCAAATGAAGTGCCGATACTAGGACTGCTGTGGGGTGCTTGGTTTAAACATTTTAAAATTAGAGATAGCCCTTGAAAACTCTGATTTTAGTAAGTGGTTAAAGAATACATAATTTCTTTAACATTCACAGCAGGCAGTTTTAACCCTGCATTTGTACTGCTTTGCCTTGCCCATATTTTTCAGGTCAACCTGACACCTTTACCTCAAATGTGTTTATAATAAAGAAATTGGTCTTAGCACCAGCTCTATTCATTTTTCACTGCAGGAAACTGTCATGTTTTAAAAAGCATAAGACATTTTCTTTTGCTCCAGGATTCTTTGGAAATATGGTAAAATATTAGATCCCTAAGGAATAGAAACAAGGCTATCAAAAAGCATGCTGCAAGGCACATGCATATTATTAGTTACTAAGAATAGTGCATTGCTGAGTGTGACTGAAAATATCCAAATGCATTCYCTTGATAAGTTAAGCATGTATTCCTCTCTCTGGGCACACGCCAAAGTGTCATCAAATGGAAAAACAATGTTATAACAGCCTAACCTATGCTTGCAGGCCATATGCATGTAATCCTAGGGGACCACCACAGAGCCTTCACAACATCTCTATGGAGAAAGCCCACAGACCATTMTATCCCTTGGACTCTTCTTGTAAGGTCCATGAAGACTCTTCAAAGTAGAAAGAGCTCAGTTTTTGACTCACTGAAACTTGGTGARCATAATTGAGATGTTCATCCATTAGTTGAGAGCTATTAGGGCTTGACCCCCAAAAAATGAGCAGGAATCTCTGAAT